ACGCTCTCGCATATTTTGGTTTACGTCATTGAGCGACACATTCCGAAAAAAGTTCCTAAACAAGGTAATCATCATCCTTGGCTAACCAGTGAACTCCGTATGTTAAAGTCTTCCAAAAGAGCCGCGCTAAGAAAATACAACAAGTACCAACTCAAGGACCATTATGCAAGGTTCAATCATGCGTATCAACGAACCAGTCGCCAACGTTATCGGCGTTATCAACGGATGTTCAACGGAAGCTTCGATCTCACCCGAAAATTTGTTGGATTTATGTGAATGAGCAACGAAAGGAGTCTGACCTTCCATCGACTATGGTACTGAACGGCGAAGAAGCTTCATCCCCTCAGGACATTTGCCGTCTGTTCTCAACCAAGTTTGCAAGTGTATTCTATGATAAGAACCTACCTGACGAGCACGTTTCTCTAGCAGCCAGCAATGTTCCAATGTCTAGTCAATCTTTGGAAGCTATCAACATCGATCTTTCTATGATAACTAGGGCGGCTTCACAACTTAAGTCTTTCTTTAAGCCTGGACCTGACGGAGTTCCTTCCGTCTTTCTCAAGCAACACATCGATAGCCTGGTGGCTCCTCTTTGCCTTCTGTTCGAAATGTCCCTCTCCAGTGGGGTGTTTCCTTCCTACTGGAAATCAGCTGAGATGTTTCCAGTGCATAAGAAGGGATGCAAAAGAAACATCGACAACTACCGCGGCATCACATCGTTGTGTGCCATATCTGAACTGTTCGAGTTGGTCGTTACGGAACCATTAGTCTCTCACTTGAAGTAGTACTTGAGCGAAGACCAGCATGGTTTCATGGCAGGGCGGTCGACTACTTCCAACCTTCTGTGTCTCACCTCATACATTACGGAGAGTATGATAGACCATATGCAAACAGATGTCATCTACACTGACCTATCAGCCGTCGTCGACAAGTTGAACCATCCTATAGCGATCGGCAAACTGGATAGGCTCGGTATAAACGGCAGTCTCCTACGATGGTTCGCATGCTATCTATCTGATCGTCAGTTGGACGTTGCAATCGACGACTGCCGATCTCCTTCGTTCCCTGCCACTTCGGGTATTCCGCAAGGTAGCCACCTCGGCCCGTTGATATTTCTTGTGTATTTCAACGACGTCAATTTCGTCCGCGACGGTCCACGACTGTCGTTCGCAAACGACATGAAAATCTATCTCCAAATCCGAGCCATCGCTGACTGCCATCTTCTCCAACTCCAACTCAACGCTTTTCTTAATTGGTGCCAACTGAACCGCATGGTTGTAAATCCAACAAAATGTTCAGTAATCACGTTCTCACGGAAGAAACATCCAATTACATTCAGTTATATCCTAGAAGGCGTTGACGTACATCGTGTGAATCACATTAAGGATTATCAACTCACATACAGCCAGCATATCTCGTACGTGATCGACAAGGCATCCAGAACGCTCGGCTTCATTTTCAGGATAACTAAAAGTTTCACGGACATCTACTGTTTGAAGTCGCTTTCCTGCTCCTTCGTCCGGTCGGTGTTAGAATACTGCTGCCCTGTATGGAATCCCAATTACCAAAACAGTGTACAAAGAGTAGAGTCCATTCAACGACGATTCATCTAGTTTGCCCTTCGACGATTGCCTCATCGCCTTCCAAGCTACGAAAGTCGGTGCCAGTTAATTCACCTGGATCCTTTGTGGAGTTGAAGAGATACGACAATTCTACAGGGCGGAATCGATTGTCCTTCTATTCTACAACAAATCGACGTTAACGTTCAACCACGAGCACTCCGTAACAACGCAATGCTGAGGATACCTTTTCGTTGTACAAACTATAGTTCGGATGGTGCTATCAATGGGCTACAAAGGGTTTTCAATCGTGTTGCTTCCTTATTTGATTTTCACTTGGCACGCGAGACGCTGCTTCAGAGATTCCGTGATATATTTTTAAGAATTAGGAATAAAGTTGGACTATTTCCTGTACTGTATTTCCTAGTATTGCTTAATCCATCATTAGGACTACAACCAGTTTGTTGATGTAGAACCAAATAAACAAATAAATCTAGTCAACGGGATGAAGGTATCCAGTTGTGGAATTGGTGAAGGATGTGAATGTTGCCTGGAAATGGAAAACAAGCACGAAATTCTTTCCCCAAGGCACCAGAGAAAAAGAGGAAAGCTCCAATGGATATCATTCACTCCGACGCATATGGTCCGTTAGGTGTTAACTCGGTGACTGGATTGCACTATATCCTTACACTATTAGATAATTACAGCCGATACTGCACGATTTTTCTGCTGAAATGTAAGTCTGAGGTTGCGGAAAAAATATGGAACTCGGCGGACAACCTAAAACAGAATTCGGACGATACCCCAAACGGATATGGTCTGACAGGGGAGCAGAGTACACGAGCGAGCGGCTGATGGCATACTACCGAGATAAAGGAATCCATACTGAGTTCACTGCTGGCTATTCACCGCAACAAGAAAGACGTAACAGATACACTACTGAGATGTGTCGGTGTATGTTGTAGGCTGTTCAAGCAATCACAAGGCGTATAGATTCGTAGATGTTTCTTCAAATCAGCTGATAATCAGCCGTTGCAAGATTCTTTGAAGAGGGGCAAATTCAAGCAAATGATATTATCCCGAACCTGGAGCAAACGGTAGAAAATGTGTTGCATCCTTTGTTACGCTTGAAATAGCAACCTACTGTGGCTCAACCCGCGGAATTAGAAACAATCACATGCAACGAAGATGACACTGATGAGGTCGACGAGTTTGACTCTTATCATGAAGATAGTAGCAGTGGAGTTATTCACAATTCTGAGCGAAGTAATAAGGGAGTTCCACCATTACGATATCATACATCAAGCAATCTGGTAAGCAGCGTTGAAGCACAAACGTACAACGAAGCAGTTTCAGGTACCGAGAGTGCGCTGTGGAAGTTAGCAATGTGTGAAGAGTTCATGTCATTGATGCAGAATTCAACATGGTAATATACGACACTACCTGAAGGCAAGAAGGCTATCGGATGCAAGTGGCTGTATAAACGCAAGCTGGATGAACATGATCAAATTTCTCGGTACGATGAAGTTTTTGCTCCAATAGCAAGGCATGTTACTCTCCGGATTCTACTGACCGTTGCTGCTCTTCGGAAGTTTTTGGTAAAGCACGTAGACTTCAAGAATGCCTACCTCAATACTGAGCTGACTGAGGACGTTTTCATGAAGCAACCTAAGGGATACGAAACAGGTGATTCTGATATCGGTTGTCATCTGAAGCGAAGCTTGTGCGACTTGAAACAGGTGGGGCACGTTTGGGACAAAACCATCGACAAGTACTTCAAGCACCGACAAACCGACATGACACTTAATTCTGACTTATGCCCGAAAATCGTAAACGGTCGATTTAAATGTGCAGTGATCCGAACTATCAAAACCTTAGGATTTTTTGATCTAGATAAAAATAATTTGTCCAGAATAGATCAGACACGAACGAATTCATAACTTTTGCATGCGGGCCCATGGCTTAGCTAAATATTTCCCGCGAACCCGGAGCCAGATGTCATTAGTGTGCTTTGGTCAGAAATTTTATTGTTTTTGCTATGGTCATTCATGTCGGTTTGTCGGTGCTTCAAGGGCCTGGGCTTCGTTCAATCAAACTCTGATGCCTGTTTGTACATTGAAATCCACGATCGTATGCAAGACTGAAGAGTAATACCACCGACAATCCGACATGAAACTTAAACTTAACTCTTGATCGAGAATCCATAACGGCTGATTCAAATGTGCAGCGATCCTATCGGTCAATACCATAGAATTTTTTTTATCTAGATAAAAATAATTTGTCCGGAATAGATTAGACACGAACCAACTCATAAAATTTGTATGCGTGTTCGTGGCTAGGGTAAAAAATTTCCGCTAACACGACGGCAGATGCCAGTTTGTGCTTTTATCAGAAATTTCATTGTAATTTGTATTGTCATTCATGTCGGTTTGTCGGTGGTAATACAAAGCAATCCTGACATACTTTTCAACAAATTTCAAGGTAAATCCTCTCGAAGATGTACACCACTACCTTGAAATTCGAGTTGACCGTGAGTTAGTGATTAATCAGCAAAGTTACATTCTACGGTTAAGCAGAACATTTTTGTCTTGACAAAGCGAAGCCATAAATTGGCGGATTGCTCTACGTTGCAGTGAACACGAGGCCGGACATAGCCATTAACACTTCTTTGCTAGTGCGAAAAGTTAGTTCTCCGAGAGCAGAGGATTGGACGGAAGCAAAAAGAGTGATGCGATATCTAGTAGCAACGGCCAAGTACGGACTGCATTTGGGTAATTACATATCAAACTTGACAGCCTTCGTAGATGCGGACTGGGCAGAAGATCATCGAGATCGCAAATCGAACACCGGCTACCTAGCATTCGGAGGAGGAGGAGGAGCAATCAGTTGGGGGGCGCAAAGAAGCAAACTTGAGGTACACTTTCTTCTTCAGAAGCAGGGTTTATTGCAGTTGCTGAAGCAAGCCAGAAGCTTTTGTGGATTCGCAAGATGATGTTGGAATTCCGTTAATTCCGGCACAATAACGTTGTATGAAGATAATTGAAGCACGATTCAACAGCTGAAGTCTGAGAAACTGGAGAAGCGATCGAAGCTTCTGGACACCAAAATTCGTATTCATTAAAGAGTTGGTGACGAAGAAGATCATCCAAATCATCTATTGTCCAACCGAAAGGATTTTTTCGGTTGGGAAAGTTTCTCGACTTCCCTGGGCATAATAGAGAATGATTGTACTTGTCACACATTTATACTAATGCAAAAATGGTACAGACATCGAAAGCTCTCAATAACTGTGGAAGTGCATCTAGAACACTAAGTCGTTTTAGAGCCGCTATTTGATCACTATTATCACTAATTTAGTCACTAAAACCACTCTTATTGTATCACATACCCACTACCAGCCCTGCACATAGCTAACGTTTGAATTTCCGTTCCACCCACCAGGACTTCTCCAACTGGCCCGATGAACCGTTTGAAGAGATGGACAGCACTCTTGCAGTACAGCAGTACATTCAGCAGATGATTAAGAAGGAGCCCGCCAATGTCGAGCAAATCCTGACGATGCCGGACGGTCAAGACGAGGGTGTGTGGAAGTACGAACATTTGAGGTAAGATTTGAACCACCTAGGTAGCACCCTTTGGTAGGCAAGCGTTCATTGAAGTTCGCTGCATTTGTAGACAATTCTGCATGGAATTGAACGGCTTGGCTGTGCGACTACAGACGTTGTGCTTCCCTGCCACCTGCACCCAGATGACGGCGACCGAGCAGTGGATCTTCCTGTGCGCGGCGCACAAAACGCCAAAAGAATGTCCAGCTATTGACTACACACGTCACACACTGGACGGGGCCGCATGCCTTCTCAATAGCAATAAATATTTTCCCAGCAGGTAAGTTCAATCAGGAGAATCAAAAGTATTCTTAGAAGCATTTGAATTGATTTGAAATTGAGTCTCTCCAGGGTATCAATCAAGGAATCGTCAGTGTCGAAGCTCGGCTCCGTTTGCCGGCGCGTTTATCGAATCTTCTCGCATGCATACTATCATCATCGGCGAATATTTAACGAGTTCGAAGATGACACGTATCTCTGCTTACGGTTTACGCACTTTGTTACTAAGTACTCGCTGATGTCGAAAGAAAATCTTATTGTTCCGATTCCGGAGGGGGAACTAACGCCCGGTGAAAGTGAGGCTTAATATATTGAAACATAAAACCTAAAACATAACTGCTTTTACGATCTAGACTATACCTAACATTTCTGTTTGTGCGTTTTGACATAATGTTACTCATTTTATTTGTGTAACGAATTGATTTCCTTAATCTGTTATTTTTAACCTGTGTATACTGTAGTTACGGTGAGCAGAGAGGTACACTTTCTGTGATCCGTTCCAAGTCTTTCAGTGCTCATATTTACAACTTCATACCGGAAATTTCCTTTCGAGAAATACCTCTCGGACATTGGACAGTGAGTTTCCTCTTTCACAACATCTTACAATTATACGAAAATGGGCGCAGCATGAAAGTTTATAATCAAAGGCAAACATATTTGTAAAACTCGAATCATAAAACCAAGAGGAAACAGAACTTAATGGGCATATGGATATTGGATAAAACGTCATTCAAAAATTGTATAATCTACTCGACAAAAGAAAACGTGTAAAATTAAAAGTATTTAACGATTGAACAGTAATTTAATTTATATTAAAAGAAACATGTAGACTACCAGTAAACAAAAAAAAAACACAAACAATAACTATCTCTTAAGAAGCATATTCGACCTGGGTGAGAACATAAAAAAAAAGGAAAACAAACAAACGCTAGAACGTCCACAACCACCAATCTCGAGGTCCTCTATTTCATCAAATCTCTACCACTAGCGGAATGCAAGGTTTTTTTTCTCCCGTGGCGTGTTAGTCTTAAACGGAAAAGCGTGTTAGAAGAGGAAACATCTGTCTATTTTTTAACATCAGAAAAATGGTTATCTTCAACCTATCAGTTTAGTAAAGAAAACAAATGTGTATGATACGATTCCTTAGCAAACGGAAACGGGATAGAGAACAATGCAAGCATTACAAAAAAAGGGAAGATAAACTTTGTTCATAGAGTTAACTAGAAACAAACAAGTATGTGTCCGTTTTTTACGCTACTCGAAGTTAGAATAAAAGCAGTAATTCATGATGAATCACGGGAATTTATGGGATCCGCAACAGAAAAGAGAATAAACTGTGTTTAGCAAATACTATATAGTCACTCACCACCATTAATAATGCAAAATACAAAAAAGAAAAAAAAAACATACGCAAAGGAAGTGTTGAAAGAAATCACTTGAAAAAATGTTTACACCTAAAAGGAGAGATTATGTAATTTAGCAGCGGGAGGAAGTCAAATAAAATCATTAGTAATATGATCATTTAAGCATGTGTGAAGTTTTCAAAAGGCCGGATCAGGTTCAGGCTCGAAGTAGGATGTATCACAGCCAAGATCGTGTGGTCGTCTGGGTCTTCTGTGTGCCGGCGATGACTCTAAAGATGTTCTGGAAAATTAGCGAACGCTACCCTCAGTCTGTCTGACTGAGTGCTGTTAATAAACAGTGTATACACGGTAATAGCAAATTTTTTTTTTTTTTTTTTTGCTTTATTAGAGAGATTTTCAGCCTTGGGCTGGTTCATCTCTTAAAGACGAGGGGTGGGGACTTCAGACGGGAGTCCCCCTAATTACAGAGCTAATAGGAAGGGGATGTGAGGTTCCAGAGGAGAACCCCGAGGATACGGAGTTAGGAGATGGGTGGGAGCTCCAGAAGGGAGTCTCCATAATAACAGAGTTTTAATATTTCAGAGTTGGAAATTTTCCTTTAATGCTACAGATGTTACTGTCCTTTTGGATTATCGTGGTCAAGTGGTCAAGTTCCGTGTCCTGTTTCTTTGTAGTCGCTGTGTTTGATTTTAGTGCCGTCATTCGTCCATTTCCGTGTCCTTGTACGTGCTTTGCTTGGTTCAATATCTTCGTTCATCCGTGTCCGAGTCAGTATTTGTTGCCGAGGTATAGTTTTGAGTCCGAATCATTGTCCGTTGTCGTTGCTTGGGTGTTTAAATTTGGTTAATCAGACCTGCTTCCTGAAGGAAGCAGAATAGTGCAGCGATGCTGGATGGGTCATCCCTCAGGGTATCCCTGATGCTACCTGAGATCCCGTAAAGGGAACGGGGTCGTTGGTACTGGGGGCATTCGCATAAGAAATGCTCCACTGTAAGTGGAACATTGCATGTCTCGCACTGCCGTCTGAATCCGCCTCCGCCTCCCATGTTGTGGGAGACTTTGGTATGTCCGGTTCTCAACCGATATAGAATGACTTGAAGTCGGTGTTCAGGTGGATCCTCCCATTTCCTGGTATCCCCTTTTACCTTCCGGATAAATAAGTCTCGAGATCTCATCCATTCGTTAGTCCAGCAGTTCCATATAGTGATTGTGATCCACCGCTTTATGTCCTGGGCCGGAACCTTTCTGGTGTAAAAGTTGGACTGTCTTCCGGATGCCGCCAGGTGGTCGGCTTCCTCATTACCTCTGATCCCACAGTGTCCGGGGACCCAGACAAAGGTTGTTTCCTTAGGTGCGAGCTGCTGGATACCCTGGATCCAGGGGTGTTTAGCTGTTTCAGACTGGAGAGCTGCTAAAACACTTGCAGAGTCGGAGAATATGACGATCGGTTTGATTGAGGGTAAGATGACAGCTACGAGAATGGCGGCTGCTTCAGCAGTGAAAACGCTGCATGGGTCTGGTAGTCGGTGAAAGGTGCACAGCTCCGGATCGGAAATTCCAATACCAACTCTACCGCCACTTCGGGATCCGTCGGTGTATCGTACTTGATGATTGTTGTATTTGGTTCGATGTAATTCGGCTACTGTTCTCACTAGCGCAGGGGAGTTGGTTCCCGCCCGGAAACTGTTCTTTATCGCCGGATCGATGGACAGACCGGGTGAGTTCCAACCTCTGGCTCCACACCAGTGGACCCTGGCTACAGGGGGGAGCTCCAGGTTGGCGGTATTATTCAGGAGATCGTTCGCCTCCATGAGGAGGGACACTCCGTCACTTGTCCCTGTAGTCTTTTCTGCAAAGCCAATCGCTTTCTTGCAAACAGATGCGACAATGTACTTTTCAAAAGGCAGCCTTCCACTCTCCACGCAGGCTGCCAACCTGGGGGTGGATGGGAGGAGACCTGATGTGATCCTAATGGCCTGATAATACACTGGAGCCAGTTTGTAAATCAACCTATCAGCAGCCAGGCAAGTCAGTTCTAAACCGTAGGTTAGTCTGGAATCAACTACCGCTTTTGCTACACGCATACGAATATCACGGTTGTTCATTAAGTGTCTTTTGGCCAGTGTTCGGAGTAAATCAATCCTCGTTTGGCAGTTCTTTTTCACCTCATTAAAGTGGTCGACAAAGTTTAGATGCCTATCGAGTCGTAGGCCGAGGATGCGGATAGACCTCTTGAAGGGTATGATTCTTTCATCAATACTGATTGGTGAGCGGAGTACATGGTGGTTCATCGGACAGATGTGAGTATAAGCGCATTTTTCTACCGAAAGGTGGAATCCAACGGATTTAGTCCACCGTAAGACAGCGTTCGTGGCTGCTTTTAATTTTCTGCGTATAGCCTTCACGGTGCTGCCAACTACTACCAAGACGATGTCGTCTGCATACACAAAGATGTATATTTCCTTGGGAAGATTGTTGAAAACTCCGTTCATCCGTATTAAAAACAGCGTGACTGCAATCACAGAGCCTTGTGGGACGCCAGTCTCCTCCGGGAAACATCTGGATCTATGGTTGCCCATACATACTTGAAAAGTACGATGTTGGAGAAAATTTTTCAGAAAATGGATAATGTGGCCGGAGAGACCCCATTCCGCAAGTTGGACAAGGATGTCAGGCGTCCATGTCTGATTGTATGCCTTGGCGATGTCTAAAGTTGCTAGCTCCACGTGCTGGTCGGCATCCCTCGCGTCCCGAAGTACCTGATTAAGTGTGGCGAAATAGGTCCCAGTGCCATGTCCGGGACGGAAGGCGTGCTGGCGATGGTCAATGTAGCCGTTACTCTCCAAGTAGAGCACGAGTCTACGATTGACCATCCGCTCCAGCACCTTACTGACACAGCATGTCAAAGAGATTGGTCTGAAGTCCTTTGGCTCGCGACTCGCAGCTCCCTGCTTAGGAATTGGGACAACAAGGCTGTGCCTCCATTCTTCAGGAATAGTATTTCCTAGCCACTCGTACGTTTGCTTTCCAGTGGCAGATTTTTTATAGAGGGTATCCTACTTCATCCGGGCCTGCTGATTTGCCGTGAGCCTTGGACAAGGCTAAATCAAGCTCTCTTGGTCTGAAAGGTTGGTTAATTTCCAGTGGTAGATCGTCCTCCGGGATGTGGAAATTATCCAGCGAATGCGTTGTCGCATTTTTTGTGCGACGGAAATGGTCGTCATATCCTTCAAGAGCCGAAAGAGTTGCAAAGTACTCCCCCATAGCATGTGCAATTTTGTCGGGGTCTCTGGTTATTAAGCCGTCTATTCGAATAGCCATGCCACGATACTTTCGCTTACCGCTCAACGCGTTGACTTTACCCCATAGGTCAGAGGCCGTCTGTCCAGCGTTAATACCGTCGAGGAAAGTCTCCCAGCTCAAGCTGTTGGCGGTACGTATGGTCTGTCTACACTCGTTCCGTTTAGTTCTGTATGCAGTTTGTGCCGCTTCCTTCAAGGGGTGGTCCGCGGGCAGTCGTTTAGCTGCCCTTAAAGCCTTCCTTCTGGCCTTAACAGCAGCTTTTGTCTCAGGAGACCACCATGGTAACGACCTGGTTCCCGGGTTGGGACTTGTCCGCGGGATTGATGTGGTTGCCACTTGGTAGACAGAGCTGATGAAATCCTGGATATTGTCCGGTGTCGAGTTGGTAAAATTAACTCTAATAGTCTCCTGGAAAAGTGACCAGTCAGCCAACTCATACCTCCAACGTGGTCTACGTGAGATCATTTGCATTCATTTCGTGCATTCATTTACATTCATTTGCTTCTAACTTTTTTCATCGACAGAATTCGTCAAAATGATGTATGGAACTTTTGTAAGTTTTGCTATTACCTACAACTTTTGTTAAGAACTCAAATCTGTATCTCTTATGCATGACGAACCAGAGCGAACAGAAGCCACTACTGTTTTTCCGTGAATGTATTTTACATTCAATGAAAAACAGTAACAAGTTCTGCCTGCTCTAATTCTTGATGCAGAAGAGATCCAGATGTGAATTATGGGCAAAAGTTGTAGCTAATAACAAAACCTACTAAAGCTCTGAACATCATTTTGCGGAATGCTGTTGATGAAAAAAGTTAGAGGCAAATGAATGTGAATGAATGCATGAAATGAATGTAAATGATTTTCCATGCCTGCGTGAGATGTCTTGTGGCTGGTCGTCAAGTCGAATTACCACCGGGTGATGATCACTACCCATGGGATCTTCCTCGGTGCTCCAGAGGAGTCTGCTGATTATGTTGGCGCTAGCAAGGGACACATCTATAGATGTTGCTCTCTGACCACTGGTATATGTGGTGCCTCCATCATTGAGAACGACAAGATCCAGTTTTCTGGCCACTTCCATCAGAGTGGAGCCTCTGGTATTTGCAATTGGACTGCCCCAAGCGGGATGGTGGCCGTTCATGTCCCCTAGTACCAGGATGGGACCCTCGACGCTCTGGAGTATATTTAATAGTTGGTTTCTAAGATCTGGTATTTTTCCACACGGAAGATACACCGAGACAACGGACATCGGGAATGGATGCTCTATCCTGATCGCCACGATTGGAAGATCTGTGTCTAACTGAATTGATGTGAAAGGTATCGAGGCTAGCACCCCGATTGCCGCAGAGTGGAAAATGTTTTCGTTCCTTCTAAGGATCCATTGATATTGACCCCCCAGAGTACGGTTCATCTTACCGACACTAGCCCGGTGGATCTCCTGGATTGCCAGGATGGTGGGCTTGCTGTCTCGCACAAGAATTTCTAGGTCCGAAAGGTTATTATAGAAGCCATTCATGTTCCATTGGATTGCCAAAGTGGACCCTCTGGGACTTCCGAAAGTTGGGTGTCGCGTGATTGGTGATGAATAATCCGAGGAGTAATCATCTCTTGGCGAAATGTTGGCCGGAGGCGATTGGCTCTGGGCAGTCGACGATTGTGTTGGACAGGGACTGAAATCAACCCGCATACCGGAAGAAGGCATCGAAGAGGAACTCGCATGCAATGGGATAGCCTTCTTGCTTCGTGATCTGGCTGATATTGGTGTCGGTGCTTTCAGCTTGGAAGCGGACCCCAGTAGGGCTCCACCGACAGAAGCAGTTTGTGGTGACCCCGCTGTCGGCAGAGATAGCGAAGCC